ATTTTATTGTAGTTTTATTAAAGAATGTGAGAGTTTTACATAAAAATTCTTCGAAATATAATACACAATTGTTTACGATTATCATATTTTCAGGGTAAATTCCAAGAAATAATTCTTTCCGTGCATATTAATAAGATATTTTAAAGAAGAACCTATAATTGTGATCTTTCTGCCAAGGAAAAGAGAAAACTCACAGATTTAAATAATCTAGAAAAAAAAGGGCAGATACCGCTGGTAGGTATATATACATAATAATGACTGATCCTGGTTGTATTTAACGCAAATGACATTATAATGATTATGTAATAACGACGTGATTCCTCTTCTAAGTTCGTAGCGAAAGAAATGGAAAATCGATACTATCGTGAAACAGCCAGGAACCTCTCGCCATTTGTGAACGGGAAAGCGAGGAAAAGGAAAATCGGCTGCACGCGGCTGATAATATTCAGATACTTTGCGTCGTTTCTTCTTGTCAACTTCAGTCGAAATGTATATCGTTCTGCAAAAATGAAATAAATCCTCTTCCTTTAACTTTTAGTTTTTAAAATACCTTCTTATAAAAAATGAATAAGTATAAGAAGTAGTAATTAGAGATTATGTAATCCTTTAAACTTTTAGCTGCGTTTAGTATTCGTTGGAGCTTACGCTATAAAAGTGAATTTATTAATTAATGATCTGTGAATAGACAGGCATAATTATATTCACATTGTGGAATTCACAGGTTTCTATTTATAATTAAAGTCTTTGAGGCTAACTTTTCGCTTTAAGACACTCCTATATTCGAGCGAGTTACAATATCCACATAAAAATACAATATATATCTGGTTGGATTTCTGTGATGCCAATTTATAGGACATACGGAATCTCATATGGAAGATAGCATTATCATCCACACGACTTTATCGTTAAAAGAAAAATTATTTAACAAAAAAATCGTAATTTGAAAGGACATTCGATCCGTAGTTTGAAGAGACATTCAATGATTTGAGGACAATTCACACGCTGTGGCTTTCTGTTAACTGTAGTTAATTAAACTATTTCTGAACTCATGTGCAATCCTATTATGACTACCGGTTGGATTTTCGTTGAGAAAAAATTGCTTTCAAATACGTAGGAGATCCGCGGCTGTTAAAGCGTCGACAATATTCTAGAATTACTGAGCATCGTTTCTCGTTTAACACCTAGAGAGGGAAATTCGGGGATTGAGAGAAGATACGGAAATGCACCGTAACACGAAATCCCTTAATCGCTTTTTTCTTCTACGCGCATTCACGCGTAATCGAGCGTGAATTAAACGTGAAGAGTTTGGTGCTATACTCGCGCTACGTTCGTTCGTTTTTAACAAAAAGTATTTTCGGCGCAGTGGTTTAGTTGATCGTATTTTCAATTGTAATAAAAAGAGAGGAAGAGAGAAACAGAACGGAAGGTGTAGCGATACTGTAAAAGGGCTTAAGTGTTCGCTGTATTTTAATTGTGTCCGACTATTCGACACGATCGAACGCACGCTGTTTCGTTATTTATATTCCGTGAAAAAGTTCGAAAGAGCAAATAGAAAGATATTTGAAAGGAATATATGACAGACATAATCAATGAGACTTAATTTATTAAATAATCCAAGATCCCCCTCTCTCGCGTAGTCTCTTTTACAATTATAACTGCTTTATATCTGATACACACACACACACACACACACACACACACACACACACACAAGAGAGAGATGCGAGAAAATGCATTTATTATATTCTCTTGAAGAGAACAATTAGAAATAATTAAATAGCATTACAATTTGTACAAAAGTAATATATTTTTATAATTAATTTTTATCCTTTTCAATGTACTTTCTTTATTTCTCCCTTTGGCCACAATTGATATGATCACAAGCTAATACAATCTCTCCTCTCTGTTCCTCACTTCTCGTTTCTCGTCGGTAAGACGCCTATTCATCTTGCCATGTGATGCAATACAATAAACAATCATCGATTTTGGATCTATCCAGAACAACCGTATGCTTTATAGTTTATGGGACGATGTAGAATTCTCACGAGGAATATCCGGCACACGTGTGTCAGGAATAGTCGCTATAAATAGGGATTTCCATCGTTGAATCGATCTCTCGCCGGAAGATAAAGATACCCTTTTGTTGCTTCTATCGTGATTTCTCTGGTGAGCAATGCGCCAAATTGTTTATCGGTTGTCTCGCCAAATATAAATTGGTCACCTAATAATTTAGAACCATTCGACACAGAAGTTCCATCCGAATCGTTTTTTTTTGTGTGTATTTTCGATATAAGAATAAGCAGATAAAGTCAGAGATTTTTGCACGCTCAGTTTAATAAAATTAGCAAAAACATATATACTGTATATATCGCCAACAACATGAATTTTATCTCTTCCGTCAACAATAGACATCTTTAAGAAACAGCCAACTTTTTATTGTTCTGCGGATTATAAAAATTTGAAAAAATTCTAATAAACTTTTTTAAGGGATTTTTTAAAGAATTAACAATGAATTTTTGTCATTACAGAGGTCGGATTAATTTATTTTTTACAAATTTAAATTTATCTGTTAAAATTCACAATTAAAATGCCTTTAAAGATTCTAGTTGCCGGTAGAAAATTAATAACAATATGTGTATTTATTAAATAAATATAAAATTCTTCAAGCAATTAATGTGACAAAAAGTTTAAAATATCAATATAAAAATAACAATATAATATATATTATTTTCGTATAGAATAAAAATACAATATTATTGAACAGCATATTATTATTGAAATAATATTTTTCAATAACATTGTGTGTAAAAGATTTTCAAAGAAATGGAAATCAGAGTAGGATTATATCGTTTTCAATCATACGGAAATAAACGTATTAACTGTCCCACAGAGCTCATGAAATTTTCCTTTTATACACAATAAATATGTTAAACGATACGGTAGTCAAAGCGGAGCATTCTTATTATACAGTATCTGAACGTCATGTACATTATATTCCGATTAGTAGTAGTGCGTTTTATTGACCTATCGACCGAAATATGTTCAAACGAGGGATGAAACAAGAGCACGAATGACGTTTTAAGAAGGGCAACGGCACCGTTCGTCGATGAATAATTCAACCGTTGATTTGCACGACTCAGTGGAAATGTCGGATTCGATTTCGACATCGGTTCTGTCGCTCCCTCGTGGCGTCGATCGGCGCGCTTAAAATGAGCTTCCACTGCGCGCTCATAATTCGCTCGCGATGAATAAATGACGTAGGGTGTACCTGTCGCTTAAAGTTGCTAGACGACATTTTAACTATGCAGACCAGTGACAAATTGGAATCGATTTTTCCTGACCGTTTTCTCATCAATATCGTTGTTCCAACGATTTTGTTATAACGTTAGGAAAAAAATAAAAAATAAGAAATGTTGTATAAGACGTTTGAAAGGAAAAGGTTAAAGTTTAATATCGAATAACCAATTTAAATTTTCTCTTTTTCTCTCTCTTGATTTACAGTTTTTTTTTTTCTTGAAGAACGAAGTTACAGAGAGGCACATCATTAGGTTGAAATATATGATGTGCTTCGGCGACAAGTGTACCGGAAATTAGAATTCTAATTTCCATTTGATCAAAACGCGATTCCCACAAGTGTACTCGTCTCGCGCGTCAATGCGCTGCATATTTAAACGCGAACATTCACGCGGCACGTCGGAATATGACGATATTTCATTTTATGTGTGCGCGAAACGAGCGCTTATAGAGTTTTAACGCATCGTGAGTTAATTAGGTCCTGAAGCACCGCGCCCGTCTCTGTGACGTGGATTTTTGCGCCCTCGAGGTATTCGCGCCTTCCTTCCACCGAATTATTTATTGCCGTCCATTTATCCCCACAAATACGTCGACAAATATAAATTGAGGGATAAAGAAGCCGTTCCAAGTCTAACGTCGCAGCTTTTCAACTTTTTTTAACGTTAAACTTCTCGTTTCACGCAGTATTTCGTCGTAATTTATCGGATGAACCACAAAGAAACAGTACAAATAGACGTAAATTCGCTTCGTTAATGAGCTCAACAGGTGCGTGGGGAATGAATATCGACTGAAGATTGAAGCCTTTTAATTTCGCGGTTGCTTGACAACAGCTCGTCTGCGTACCTTCCTATCGGTGAGATCAGTTTTTAATCAAATTATACGTGTTTTTCTAGTCTTTCGGTCATGAGGTCAAGTCGCGAATGAAGAAAGCTAAGAAAAAGAGAAACGAGGAAGTTGGACTTGGTAGATTAAGCACGAAACTAGCACGGACGAGACTAAACCAGAGGAATCCTCCAATCTTTCTCAGACGAAATGAGAATCGTGGAAGTGAGAAGACAAGGGAAGAAGATGCGCTTTTGTACTCTTTGAGCAAAAGGGAATCTCATTGAAAACGAGCGTCTTGACGAAAATACGTTTGACATAAGAAGATGGAAAAATTCTTTTTCCAGTTATTGCCTTGACGGTTTCAAAAGTTCGTTCCATAATTAACGTGAGTATAGATTTGCAGCAATGCGCTTAATAATAAGAAAATATACATATGTCACAAATTTTTAATTTTAACAATATATGCCTTTGATACAAAATAGCAACTTTATCTTGTTTTTAACTTTATAATGTATTTTGTACTTTTTTGAAAAAAAAAATAGGAATGTTAAATTCTCTCAGGACGTAATACGATTTTTTTCATCATTATAGTAATTAATTTAATTGATCATCAGTTAATTTTTTCAATGCTCCTCAATGATTTTAATTCTAAATGCTCTGGAAGAATGTCAAAAAATATTCAAACTAAATAAAAATGTCAAAATGCAATGAAAAGGAATTAAAATAAAAAAAAGAGACGTTTTTCCAATAAAAAAGATTATTGTTGAAAAGGAGAAAATGTATTAAAGTATTCTTGGATAACGATTTCACAAATCGATACCGTCTTGAGAGTTAATTCAGAATTAGTTCGCTTAAACGAGTAACTTTTTGGTCATACTCACCCCACTTCGCCCAATTTGACCGCTGGTCTTGAATTGGAATAGTTGGTAATCGCGAGACAACGGCAAACAACGGCAGTCCCGTCGTCGAGAAGCGGCGCAACCTGCCGAGATTTAATTGGCCGTTAAACGATCGTTCGCCTCAGTCCACGAGCATTATATATATATATATATATATATATATCGAAAGACGAAGGACACGCGCGGTAATAGTTCCCGATAAATCGATAAGCCGTAAGACGTTATAGAATACAAGTACAAAGAGAACATTAATCTTGCAAATTTTCATCTCGGGATGTCATAAATGAAATGATTCTAACTGACGTAGAATTTTTTCACTTAAAATTCTTAATTTTAAAACATCCTGGAAAATATTGAAGAATACCGCGTGCTACTATTTTTACGGAAAATATGATTTTCTCGCAACGATCGTAAACGAATATTCGATCTTACCAAAAGAGAGATACAGTTTTGAAACGCGACCACGTTGAGTGCGTTATTGCGTTTCGGATGCAAACAAACCGGTGTTTGGTCAAACCCGATCAAATGCTGCTGTGACCAATTAACAAACGTTGCGTGTACAACATGCTATTCGTTGATCGAGAACAATGTCGAAATAATTAGTGTAGCGAACGCGCCGTGTAGGAGAATAAATGTATTAGTTAGAAACAGATGAATCAGAGCTCTTTGTCTACATCTACGTATATAAAACCGTTGGCATATTACAGAAAATAAAGCGAGAAAATTTCTCGTTTTCATAGTGCATCTGATATTTTTTCTACAATATTTTGCAAACACGATATCTTGCTTCACATTTATTCATTAACTTTGGTAGTGACACAACTAGAGATACGCATTGAAAGGACATTTCTCTTGCACAATAGCTTTTCAGTAAGTAATTAATATACGAACAGCGTTGTGTCACAGGACAAACGCGTTCGTTAGAAAACGAGACCCTTCCAATGCTTTTAAATGAGACCATTATGGCTTAATGAATATGAACGCAAACATAAATTTTATAGAAGCTGTAAAAAAAGCGCGTAAAATAACTAGGACATCATAAATTATATTATTAAAAATAAAAAGAATATTATATTCCGTACGTATACTTGCTTATATGAATTTTACATGTACAAAAAATCAGTCAGCTTTTATATGACGTAAAAAAAGGAAATTCAGATAAGTAGTATTGACAGCCTAAGAGAATTACAGGCCCAATGATGATTATAATCATCTCACATAATGTCTATTCAGTCGTAATGGCTGGTATCAACTTCCCGGTAAAATATTTCATTATGAAGTATGTACATAATATATTGAAAATGTTATCAAAACGTTCAGAGCGTGGTTTGTAAACACTAAGGTAAATCTTCAAGTTGCATATGACACTGATAAAATAATTTATAAAATTATTTATATGTATCTCAGAAACAGTTTTCGATTTATGTTCATTAAAGCTTCTTTACTTATATAATTAGTATAGTATGTATTACCTAACACATGTCTAAATGCTGAATGATTTTTGAATTCCCCGTATATCTAAAAAGATAAATTTATACATACATAAGAGATTTTACTGTAAATAATAAATATTTGATATTTACTGTATACATAGAGCGTGACTATTCTGTCAGTTTCAATTTTAAATATAATATGAAAATACTATGACAAATATGATATACGTAATATCTCTTTGGAATATGATGTGCTTACAACTACATTATACAATCGCGATCAATTCTTGAAAGCACAATCTTTAAACATTCAATATGTGCTGTTCAAGAACAAATATTATTACGAGAAATATGAACTAAAAAGTCCCGTTCTACCTTACGTATGTCTAAGATAATATCACTATTTTCTGAATACAGCTTTTAAAACCTGTTATACGCTCGTAAGATACCAGACATCGTTTCATAATATCTCTTTTATAATAATTCTTTTTTTATGAGCATGAGTAACATTGCAGCAGATCGTTTATACGCCATGGGTTATAAGTTAGCGGAAAGTGCTGTTTCGAGCATCGAATACATTCCACCGCGATGGATGCGAGGGATGAAGAAAACGAAGAAGAAGAGAAGAGGAAGAGGCGGAGGAGAGGAAAGCAGGTAGCTTATTAAATTCTCTAGTGAAATACATACAGCAAAGCGAATACGGCTACTCTTCCCGGGCTCAAGTTAATAACTCTCTTTTATACACGGTGTCCTAGACCTTAGTGGAGCCACTTTTCATCTCCGAATTCTTTGACCAATTTAGAGTTGATCTTTCCTCGGAGCGGAAACGTCAAGGGAGATTATTATTCGTTGTGAGTTAGCAATTTTTTAATCTAATAACTTGAATTTTTAATTAATTGCAACTTATTCTATAGTGTATCATCTTTCGCTAATGAAGAAAGCCTTTTTGATGTCATAAATTCAACCGAATATTATCCAGTTCGTCTGTTTATTATAAATATTAAATGTTTAAATATTTAAATTAATTTTAATTGGTTAATAGTCCTTTTAATTCTCTATAATTTGTTATATTTTATTAAATAAATAAATTAATTAATCCATTCACGGAAGAAGAATACACGTAGAATACTTTCGTGCGTTTTCAAGTTAAAACACCATGATATTTAGATTCAAAACATTAAAACATTTGAACGTTTAAAGCTGAAATATCCTTTATTATTATAAAAAATTTGGAAAAAAAATGTTTTAAATGCGCCTGTTAAGTTAGTTCTCCCATCAGCGCTAAATAAATTCTAACATATTTCAAAATTAGGTGCGAATTAATTTAAATGTAAACATTTTCTGCACTGCATTTTTTACAATATATTTTGACATATTTTTCAAAATAGTATCTCTCAATATGAAAATATTTATAAATATTCTATGGTTAAAGTACTCGACAGATTTTTCAAGCAGTTTATTATAGTTCAGAGTTAACGTTTCTCGTTAGCAAGTTTCTTAATGGAATTTAACATGCTCGACAAAGAAACCCTCGTCCCAAAGGCATTAAACGTAATTGAAAGAAAATGCGTTCAGCTCGTATGTTGTCATTTCATCCGTTTTTGCTACATGCGTCGTATGTATAAGAAGTACAATTTATTCTCTATTTAAAAAAAACTTCACCAGAGCACAGAATATCGCGCTGCGCTGATAAGAGAGGCAACGGTGGCCTCCTAAAAGCTGTTTGCACGTCCTGGATGTACGTGAAGGCTTAAAAGTATCTATGTAAACTGGATGAAGCTGAAAAGTACGTCGTAAAAGGCATGTATACACGGAGTTCCGAAACTTACCGGATATTTCTTTAACCATACCATATTTGGATAATTTGGAGCAGACTTTCTTGAAAAATCAATGTTACAACGCAGCTTTGGATAACTACGCCGGAAAATCCTTTCTTCGAAGAATATTTTGCCTTCATCGCGGTGATAAATTGAGAGACATGCGATTTTAGGCCTGTTCTAAATTAATATATACTCATTGTATTTAAAATAAAATAAATACGCACACATATTTTTCAAGTTTGGTAAAAGTAAGAAAGAAAATTTGTATGCAGTTCAGGGCAGCGACAAAGAACAGGTCCCTTAATGAACAAAGTACGTTAGCATTTAATCTTTCTAATTTATCTATCAATCTTTATTTAAGCGTTAGTGCGTTGCGGAATGATAATTTTAGCAGCTCAACATATATACGTATACATAATTTTCTTTCTCTCTTATTTCGCTCCGCAGCACATCCTACGGATACGTGTAATGAAAACTTTTGCGAATTTTAATAACAAGGACTCGCCTGCGTCATTGTTAATGAAAGCACCTGTAAGATAAAAAAATATGGCCGGTAAACATTGACTGTTTTCGTAATTCTCGGGCTGTCAGCTCTTTCTCGAAAGAGCGAAAAAAGAAGAGTCAGAGTATTTTTCTTTAGTTGGAAATATCAATTAAAAGTGGAATAATTTTAACTAAAATCTTGTAATCTCTATTTTTTTGTGAATTTTGTCCAAATAATTTATAAAACCATGCAAAAATAACGAAAATTTTTTTAAAAATATATATTACTTAATAATATAATATAATATATATAATATAACGTAACGATATACTTCAAACACACGCTTACTCAGAAAATGTCGATCAAATTTTTTGTTCCACACGAGATTTTTAATAATATGCAAGAAGGAGAAAAAAAGAAGAGAAAAAAAGATATAAATATAAAAACCATACAATATGCAAAAAAAGTTTGCACGTTGCTAGTAGGCACATAAATAATACATTTTTAGTATAGCGTAAATTATTTTTAGAAGTTTTCAAAGCACACTTAATCTCGCAAATCATTGTCTTTAATATTAATGTAACGTATTCATTATCAGGCAATAGAGATGAAAATTATTTTTAGTATGCGCGAACATGAGAAATCGGTTTTAGCTTGAAGATATTTCATGCGTTCGGGGTATCCGTGTGTATCCACAAATTTACAATGCGGCCGTTCCGTTATCCTCGGGGGAAATTACACTCACGGCGGTACGATAAACTTCGAGCCAGACGCTAATTATTACTCGGAAAGGCAATCTATCCGCCCGTGTAAAAGTCGTATCGATTACTGCGTTAGATGTACCAAGTTCTCGGTATCCATTCTGATACATGGAACAGGAACTTTCCTCTATCGTATTTAATTAGAAAGAGACAACTCCCGCACGACACATACTCAATTGATTCGTCCAAGCGTGGAAATATGATAACGTTAATTGATCGTAAATATTTAATTACGTGTTTCATTGAATATCGAATTATTCGCGTATACGGAAGAAGATTCAAGAGGTTTATAAATAAATTCTCCGTTAAATTCGTAATTTACATATTCAACGTACATCATGCTTACGAGACGATGCGAGAAAATAACGGAAAATAGCGGTAAATCCAGCATGCATGTACAACGCTGCTCTTTCTAGTTAAATTTTCTGCTCTGCCTTTAAGAAGCTAGGAGGCTTTTGTGCACCGTCTCGAAAATCGTGAACTTCCGATAGTTAACGCAGAGCGCCTTCGCGTTTACACGTG